ATAATAGAACTCCATCTCATGGGCTTATCAAATCAGCCAATCCTTTCTCCTCTGCCAGGGCACTGCTGCACACAGCATGAGGGTGGCTGAGCAGTGTGAGGCTGGAATCCCCTGAGCAAGCAGCGATTCAGCTGGTTGGACAGATCAAATAACACTTGGGCTAGTTAACAAAAGATGCAAGTGGGAAGGTGTTGGAAGCCAGAGTGTGGAAATTTACCCGGCATTGTTTCTTTGACAGGGAAGGGGACTCTGTCTGAAAGATACTGCATTCCTGTGGCCCTACCACATCCAGTGGAACAGTCTCAGTCAAGGTGGCGTGGATGATTAGGCAAAAGAGGATGTGCCCCCATCCAAAGCCTCTAGAGGGTCCAGGCCTGGACTTGGGACAGCAGGTGTAACTGCATGATCTCATGATCGAGCGTGGCTCTTTCTAGCTCTTCACTTACAAGACTGGTTGGAGTTTGGGCCTCTAAAGGGATCTTGTGGAAACATAAGCTGGAAGAAATGAAAAGAAGTCCCTAGAAGCTTCTAGAATCCATTAACTGGATCCCCTCTTGCTGCTCAGAGCCCAGAGGGAGGCTGTGATCCGATTAAGCTTTGGACCCACTTAAGGAAAGCAACAAAGCTCAGCAAGCAGCTCCTGCATTTGTGCCAGACAGGAGGATTCAAAGGGGAGAGTTGCTGCATATTTTACTGTGAGATCCGTGGTGATAAAAGATAAGGACACTGGCTTTCCCTTCTAATCATGCCAGATCTGGGAAAAGCATGAACCATTTTAAGTGTCTTGGAGGGTTCTTGAAGCACAGGAGTTGGTGGCCAACCCTCCTGGTACAGATAAGAACCGTGACAGCATCCAGCACTTCAGTGAACAAGAACTTGCAGCCGTCCCTGTCCCCATCCCCTGGCAGCAGTGACCTCACTAGGAGCAAAAACACCCCTCAGTTGTGAGAGTTGACAGAATGAGGTGTGTGAGGGAAGCCACTATCTGGAACTTGTCCTTTCCTGACTGCCTCTGCACCCCCCAGCCAGCCCCAGACCACTGAGTCAATGATGGCTGAGAAAGGTGACTCCAGCTCCAGTGTGTATGGATATGACCTTGGTGGACGCTTCATTGGCTTCCAACCCCTAGGCTTTGGGGTCAGTGGGCTGGTGCTGTCTGCTGTGGACAGCAGGGCTTCCAGGAAGGCAGCCATGAAGAAGATTGCTCTGAGTGATGCCCGAAGCATGAAGCATGCTCTCCGAGAAATCAAAATCATCCGGCGCCTGGACCACGACAACATTGTCAAGGTGTATGAGGTACTAGGACCCAAGGGTAGCGATCTGCAGGGCGAGCTCTTCAAGTTCAGCGTGGCCTACATTGTCCAAGAGCAAGAGTACATGGAGACTGTCCTGGCTGGCCTGCTGGAGCAGGCCACACTGACCGAGGAGCATGCCAAGCTGTTCATGTACCAGCTGCTCCGTGGGCTCAAGTACATCCACTCTGCTAACGTGTTGCATAGGGACCTGAAGCCCGCCAACATTTTTATCAGCACTGAGGACCTTGTGCTCAAGATTGGGGATTTCGGGTTGGCAAGAATCGTGGATCAGCATTACTCACATAAGGTATGTCTGCCTGGAGAGGCTGCTGCTGGTGACCTGTGGGATCCTCAAGGATGCTCACGGTGAGCCAGATGGTTTGTCTTTCTCTATTGTAATCAGGAGATTGATGTTAGGGGGAGGCAGAAGGTGCAAAAAAGATCCATGGTTTGAAAAGTTGTTGGGGATAGAGGGATCTACTTTCTAGTTGTGGCTTTGCCCCATGTCTGTAGCCAATCACTCTGGGCTGTACAAGTTAAAAGTCAGACTAGACAATGTCTAAACTTTCTTTTAGCCCTGAGCTCTGTGGCTTTAATATTGGGTGGTTGATGAGTTTTTCTATTGTGCCCACTGATCCTGGATGTCTGCATCAGCATCTTCTGTTACTGGCTGCTCAGGAGACCCCAGCAGGTTCCCTGTGCTAAGACTATTATGGTCTGGTTTATTTCACCTGTTCCTCTACCAGGGCTGGTCTATTCTATCAGTCGGTCAAGAGTAAGCAATGGGGGGTGAGGGTGTAATTTGGTACACTAATGCTCACTATGAATCAGCTAATGACTGCCCTCTTAGTTTCTTCCCTCGGTGTAGAGGGAAGTTATACTTGAAGATGGTTCTGTTAAAATTCCCTATGGTACATTCACAGAATCAGCTGCACCGGACAGTGACACTCGTCACCACGATTTGTTTCCAAGGCCCAGACCTCCTCCTTCCTGACCCTCTGTGTCTTCGGAACGGCAAGGTCTCTCCTACCAGACATGTTGCCACTGTAGGGTGCCTGAGGGCCTCGTCATAAACTTGTGACCAGGTACCCCAAAACAGAGCCAGTCTCCCTGAAAAATCCTTATACTTTGAGGTTTTTTTCATTATAATAGAACATCCTGTAGGAAGCAGGTACCCTGTGAAACATTAATAGCCAAGGGTGAGAGTGGGCCATGGAAGATGAGGATGTCTCTGACCTTGAACACGGTTTGGCTCTATCTCTAATGTCCTTCCTGTTCCTCTCCTCTGTGCTGTGGGAAGGCATCACAGGCAAGAGATCCACACTCTGTCCACCCTCACTGGCTGGAACTTGGATTCCTGCCCCAATTTCAGACCCCCACATCAGTCTCACTGCCTCTGGCTTCACAGTGCCGCAAATTACTTTGCTACCTTAACCACGTGCTTGCCCTCTCCAGCCATTCCTACAGCCTTGTCATCTATCAAGATTGACAACCCAGTCTGTAGGCAAGAAGCCCATGGCAAGGAAACAAAAGATAGCTCCTTCTCTGTCTTCCCAGTAGTAGAGGCTGTTTGTTCCCTTTCCTCCTCCTAAGTGGCTATGATGTCAAGTATTCAACCAGTGGTTTTAACCCCAACTGGTTTTTTTGGGAGGAGGGAAAAAAAAAAAATAAGATCCAGAGAATCTACAACATTTCTATCTGGGATGCACCAAACCTTCTCTCTTTTACAATTTTATTTGTGTATGTTTGGTTGTTTGGCTGCATATATGTTTGTGCACCATGTGTGTGCGTGGTGCCTGAAGAAGCCAAAAGAGAGCGTCAGATTCCCTGGGAGTTAACAGGTAGTTTTGAGCTGCTGTGTGGGTGCTGAGACTTGAACCCAGGTCCTCTAAAAGAACAGCAGGTGTGCTTAACTACTGAGCTATTTCGCCAACCCCAAACAACCATCTTAATTGCAATAGACCAGTAGTCTTGGGAGTCGTCATCTGCTGAGGTGGTTTAGTGAAGCGTCTCAGGGAAGGAGTGTGGAGATGCATGTGTTGCCTACAGTACAGTCAGGAAGATGGCTTCCTGGGTTGAAGATTCAGCCCAGGATGGCCTGAAACTCAGTCCTCATTGCCTTGGCCTCCTTAGTGCTGGGATCACAAGCATGTCCCATCAATCCCAATTGCTGAAACAAGTCTTAGGGTGTGGCATGGTATGAACAACCCCCACAGTGTGAGGAGTTGAGATGGGCTCCTTGTTGATGGCACTAATTTGGACAAGGATCACTCACCCCTGGAGCTTCAGTTTCCCGACCTTT